CAGTAACATAGATGTCTGTGTTATAAGCAAGAACAAGTTGGATTTTCTCCGTCCATATGATGTGGCCAACAGGAAGGGGGACAGGTTCGTATTCCTGAAGCTGTATGTTATCCACGCTCTTCCCACAATACTAAATTTTGTCAGAGTAATCTCCAGATCTGTATGTTGAATTCCAGCTAAACAAGAAAACCAAAACTAGTGGCTGTACCTGCAGTTGGATAGAGGCTGCTAGTGCTATGTACAGATCTGTGAAGGAAACCAATGAATTTCTTACCTGCCACCACTTTACCAGGCCAAGAGGCTGCTCTTGAGTTTCAGGCAGTTTGAGAAAGTAATGAAGTTTTGCATTTGTGACTGAGCAGATAGATACTTGGGTTTCTTTTGCTATCAGGTACCAACACAGTCTTGTTCTGCTGTGTTCTTACCGAAATGTGTGCGCTGTAAGAAAGCGGCATCACTGTACCCCGCTGCAGTTCTGCTAATCTTAGTGTGGGGATTTGAAAAAGCAGTATGGGGCAGCACAGCCTGTCATGAGCCACTATATGCGAACTTACTGCAGGGGCAAAACTAAAAACCAAGAGAAAACTCCACAACTCTGGCCTGTGACTATGTTGTCATTTATTCTATTTCTAGAGGCCCCTTCTAGCCAGTGGCTAGAAAACATGCCCTATGCAAGATTTTTAAGACAACACAGACATTGTTTTGATCACTGAGGTTTCCTCAACATCATCCAGAAATATACTGTGATGTGTTGAAAGGACAGTTTACAGTTAATAGAAAATCTTGTGACTGCTGTATTTAGCTTTTTTAGTTGGACTAAACTTGAGTCCCATTTCATGTATAAATAACTAAAAAAATGCTTGTAAGCATTCATGCTTTCCTAATCGAATGGTCTTCTCTTAACTGTTTCTACTATGTAGAAACTATATTTTTTTTTCCTAGCTCTTCCATTTGGCAAGCCACATCAAAAAGACAGATTTTTGTACAGCTCCCCCCCATTTTACAGTTCTCAGTGCTCACTTCCTTAAAGCACACAGGAAGTCTGCACAGCATGTGAGGCTGTATTGTAAACCCTACACAAAGGTGACATTATTCTGTTGCTTGTTTCCTTAAGACAGTAATTATGAATCTCTTAAATTTTGTGTCACAACATTCAACTATGGACCTCTTAGGAACAAGGTTATATTTAAGCATGTATCATGTGGTCTTGTAATACTGATAATGTTGAGGATACAGAGGTGATGAAATGCTAAAGTGAGCAAAATTTGAGTGTTAGAGGAGCTGGCAAATTTTACCTTAAACACTCAGACAGTTGCTCAGTGAACTACTGACACAGCATGACACAGTGAAATCACAGCCCCCAAGGCAGCTAAAGGATTTTGCAGTATGTACTTTTATGTTATATATGTCTAACAAGTTGTACAACTTTTCAGTCCACTGCCAAAGTGGTAGAGGTTAGAGATTGCTTTTTCCCTTCTTTCTAAGGCAGATGCTATGGCCAAAGCCACAAAGAATTGCACTGCTCCAGTTGAAGGTCTTTTGGATTTCTTACTGTACGACTTCCTAAGCATGACACTTCATTCTGAGCAGAAACGTCTATAGGTGGTCAGCTAGGAGAGAGGTTTTATTACCCATTTTTTAAGTGAGATTTTGGATTCCACTGTGTAGAGGGGTGAAAAGGGTGATGGCTCCTTTAGTCAGATGCAGTTAAGATTTCAGAAGCATGGCTTGACTACAGGCTTTGTGTTAAATGTTAGCTAACACAAAGCTAATACACTGGTAAAATTATTCTAGAGTTGCAAAAAAAATAAATAAATTGCTTGTTCTTTGAGTGAGGGTTCACAGCAAGAATGTCCTATGCTGTAATGAGATCCTACTTATTTCTATAAAAGAGCCTTTCCAGTTACTTGGTAGTTTATTTTTTTAAAGACTGTTTCCTACAAATGCTAGTTTATCTGAAACTTTATCAGTTATTGCAATCCATTTAGATTTTGCAGAGTCCCTTTACTTATGTTGGACTTTTACAGGAAACTTCCAGAGAAAGCTGATTAGCTCTAAAATTTTAAATGAGAGTTTTCCTATGTAGTACTAGCTTCCAGCTTAATTTTCACCTATTTCTTTAACAGGGTTGGTAGATACAAGTGTGAAAAAGGAACTACTGCTGTTCTCGCAGAAAATGTAGCACTCCTGGAAATTGAGGTGGTGGATGAAACTGTACAAACTATGGACACGTCCTGAACCATCATGTGTTCATCATTCTGGGTCACTGGAGACCAGCACTCGTTATGTTTAGAAGCCTTGCAGCATCGAGAGAAATACACAGCCGATACAGAATAAAGAGGGTTCTCACCATTCTCCCAACTCCTGTTTTTATGTGGTGCTGATTTCTTCTGCTGCTTTTCCCTTCTTACACTGTTGAGAATGTGAGGCTCATGCAGAACAGAACTGCAGCATCTTACCCGCTCTGAGTGTTGTGGGCTGTGAATGTAAGTTGGACTTCACCCTAAAAGATCTGTATTATCTCTGTGAAAGAGAGCCAGGCTCCTGGAGTGGGTGAAAGCATCGTACTGTCAGTGGGGCAGAAAAACCCAAGTACAACAGCTGTTTTGTTACTTCACTCTAGGAACAAAATAGCAAGGGTAAAATGATTCTGTGTAAGCTGAATTTGACAGGTTTTCGTTTAACATACATAATGTTCTTTTCTTGATGGATACATACCAGATCAGAAATGGTATGAAAATAGTGAGCACTGGTGGTTCTGAACTGCTGACCCTGACCTACAGCAGACTGCTTCTACTTATGTTACTGCAGGGAAATAACTGTTAGGATGACATGTTAATATTTATTCTTCCCTGTTTTTTGTAGATAGAGACAGGATAGAGAGTAGATCCAACCTCCACACTGGCACACACATTTTCATTTCTAAATTACATGACTGAAAACAGCATAATTTGAAGTCTAATTGTCTTGTTACTTGCCTGAATTTTTCTACAAGCTTCCACTTGAGCCTTTTTTGTCCTAAAATCCTGAGCTTGTACTATTTGAGATAAACTGATTTCAGACTGTTTCATACAGTACCACATAATCCTTATTTTAAAAAAGAAAAGAAAAGCTAGCTGAAAATCTACCTGCAGCAGTGTTTTCTCCTTTAGTCAAAAGGGAAGGTGTATCATCCACAGGCAGCTTCAAAAGGTTAATTGGTACCAGGCCCTAGTCTTAGCATCCTGCAACAACCATCCACAAAAACCAGCTTTAGCTGTGCCACAATTGAGAGGGTAAAGACGCTCATGCATATTTTTCCATCAGGACAACTGATGCAGTTTATGTAGTCCATTCGTCTGTTTTCTGATAGCTGTAAGGAACAGTTTCACACACACATTTAGGCCTGTTTTCAGTGGTTTTGGGTTTTTTTTTTAGTTTTTCCTCAATACTGGACTTTTTTTTTTTAAACAAAGGTGTTTATTTTGTAAATCCTTTTTTTATTTATCTAAAAATGCACAATTGCAAAAAATTACCTTTTGAAATACATTTACTTATAAGCACTAATAAATTTTATGTAGCAAGAAAGTGACCAGACTTCTCAAGATACTCAAATTTAAGCTGAGCTTCCCTGGAAGCCAAAGATCGTTTTCTGTGTTACACCAAGAGAGGCGCAGCACAACCATCCCTCTGAATGTGTAGCTGCCACCACGGCTTAAAGGAAATCTGCAGCGTGAAAGTGACAGTCTTCAGTCTTAGATTTAAGAATTGCTAAAGAAGCTGGGTATAAATTAAACAAGTTAGTATGGGAATGTTGGAAGCAATTTGGTGCCTCCACTACATTCTCATGCCGATTTGAATTTCCCGAGTCTCTTGTGAGAGCAGCAGGCTCAACTTTCTGCTGAGAAGACTCAATAAAATGGCACCTTGCATTAATGATACCAACATTATTCACAGCAATTAATAGCTTTTCTTTGCTACCCTATATAAATATTTTGAAATTTGACAGGAAGTAGTTGAAGATGGCACTGCAGTTTTCCTTTAAGTAGAGCAAATTAGGTTTAAAAAAAAATCCACTAAAAGCATATATATATGTATGTAACCCTCTAACCCTAATCTTATTTCCAAAAAATTAAGGATTGTATGCTTCTCTTAAGGAAAAAAAACAGGCACAGGCTGCATTTGAACTGTCACACACAAATCTACATTTTGGCATTAGCCACCGTCACACACGGAAGCAGCGCTGTAACAGTAAAGGCTTATTTATTTCCCCCGCTGTAGTCCTCGAGAACGTTAAGTGCAGCCCTGTTCCTCTGAACAGGCAGATGAAATGGAAACACTTGAACGTGAATCCACGTTTGTTCCTAAAGCAGTGAATATTTTTCATCGACAGTAATGAAACAAATCATTGATTCAATGAATGAATTTAGTTGGTTGAAAATTTGCATGTAGTTAAAGAAGATGACTCCTTCAAATCAGGTTGAGATTTTATAAAAATTCACATTCTGTAAATTAGCTTTCACAGTTAAATAGAGGGGGGGCTGATCCTTATGTAGAATTAGATACACATAGCATTTTACTACTTTTTTTAAAATTTTCAACGTGTTTAAAACACTGCTTTGCTTAGGTTTTACCTATAGTACCTAACGTACTACTGAACTTGTAATAGTATCTTCACCAAAATCTAGTTGGCTTAGATAAACACTGTTTTTTAACAAGAACCTGTAGTCTAAAAAGAATCATGCCAAATGGGAAAATAAGTTTAAAGAGAAATTATTTGCAGAAGCAATGCTTGGTTTGGCATGTTTTTCTTTTTTCCCCAGGTACATGCTTAACTCATCTCATTGGCTGTAGCCAAGTTAACAGATAAATGCATCAGCAAAATACTAGCTCTAAATTTTCAATTAAAAAGAAGAAATCTTGAAACAAATGTGTTTCCCACCCCCCCAACCCTTCCCAGTTCCTAAGTCTGAAGAGGAGGGAATTAATAAAAACACATAAATGGCTGCTTTAAAATATACGAAGTAAAAACTGAATTTGCTATTAACCATTTGCAGAAGAGGCAAAGTAGCAGTTATACAAATTACACAAAATCTACTGTAATTCTTACATTAGTATAAAGTGATTTCACTGAAGGAATTATTTCAATATTTCACATTACAGTTAAGATAGAGGGGGGGGGGCAAATGTTCAGACACCCTCGTTAATATCATCTATCCTAGATTACACACAACAGTTTTAAGAAAGGACCCTTAAATGATCTACATCTGTAACATGTTATTGGCCTTAAAAAAAAAAAAAGAAAAAAATCACTTGCAATACCTCACAATCTTCACTTTAAAGCATGACCACCTTGTAAGAGTCCTTGTCAAATAACCTGCAGAAATAATGGAGCCACCCTCGTTAATATCATCTATCCTAGATTACACACAACAGTTTTAAGAAAGGACCCTTAAATGATCTACATCTGTAACATGTTATTGGCCTTAAAAAAAAAAAAAGAAAAAAATCACTTGCAATACCTCACAATCTTCACTTTAAAGCATGACCACCTTGTAAGAGTCCTTGTCAAATAACCTGCAGAAATAATGGAGCATCTTGCTACGAGTGCTCAACCTTCTCACTTGTGTGACTAGGCACCAGTCGGTTTCATCTGAGAAAAAAAATTCAAGTAAGACTAAGCTGTGCTGGCTTCTTGAGAGTGTTTGCAGATGGTTCATGTGCTGGAGGTCCAAACATGCATTTGTTTTGCTATTTGGTGCACGTAACTAATGTCAGGTCTTTGATCTGGATCTGGGTATATGCACATGCTGACCAGCTCCCGCAGCTGAAAGACAGGAAAACAGGCATGCAAATGTGAATGGATCAGCCGATTTCTTACTGGAAAAGGCTGTGGGAATGTTTGCCTGACCACTGGAGTTCAGGACAGGAGCCAGGAAGCTCTCTTACGCAGACGTTCCTGGGCAGATTACAGGCACACGTCCATCCGTCCCATCCTGTGTCCCCCCCCACCCTACAAAAGGGCCAGGAAGAGCCTTTTCCACCAAGACTTCAATCTTCCACACAACCCAGTGGATTTTACATCATCATTTACAACACACTAGTAGCATATATATACCTAGGGGTTCCCTGCTCAGCGGTTTAGTGTGGCTCTACAGAGAATGCAACCACCACCTCTGATCTGTTACTCCTGACACCAGGAGTTTCAAAGCTCTTTAAAAAAAAAAAAAAAAAAAAAATAAATCTTTTTTCCTGGGGGATTTTTTATTCACTCCAGAGAACCAGAGCAGAGATGACCAGTATCCTCAGATGACCAGCAGCTCGCAGTCAACAGAAATGTGAAGCATGAGACAGGGCGGCAGGTCGGAGGATCGGGGAAGCGAGCCCAGCGCAGGAGGACCCAGCAGAGTGCGCCAAGGGTGCGGGCTGGGGAAGCAGCGCTGGGCAGAGGGAGGCACCAGTGGCATGAGCAGGATGGGGATGAAGGAAGGAAAAATGAGATCACTACCAGAAATCTGACTGAGCTGACAGGCGGGGATGGACTCGCCAGTGAAAGTGGCCTCTGAGAAAAGGGGGAAGCAGAGGGAGGGGTTTAAAAACGTGTCCTGAACAGAGCTCTCCTGCACAACAACTGTACTTCCCTTCCCACACCAATCCTGGGTAACAAGCCAGTTCAAGGTTTTTAATATAAGAAGTCTGAACAGCACTTGTGTATCTATCTTAAGATACTAGAGCATGGCTGTCAAACACCAGTGTTTCCTAAAAACCTTTGTGAAGAAGATGGACTGGTCATTGATTATGTTTAATAAATAAAATGCAGAAGGGCTGAAGTCTCCCCACCTCCCAAACCTCTTTATTGTGCACATGAAAGATTGTAGCTTTTAATTATACAGACACTGAAAGCTGCTCGTACCCCCGAGGCACCGGGAGAAACAGCCTTGAGCCTCTGATCTTCTCACATCCCCTTGGTAGCCACAGTGCCAATTATTTTAATGGTAATTAAAAGCACGACCATACAGCTATCAAGCACACAGCTTCAGCTGCATTACTGAATGTACCCAGTGAGGTTTTCAGCTCTGGATGGAGCAAGGCCCTGTGCTTCAAGTTGTTGCTGGGCCTGACACACGTTTCAGCAGGGGATTCCTGCAGGGCGGCACGCAGCCGAGCAGCAAACACGCAGGCAGGATGGAGGTAGGGGCACACAGGCAGCACAAGTGGTAAGGACATGGTGTAATGCAGTTACTGCTAACCACCTTGCCTGTCATTTTGTGTGTACACACTGAGAGCAATACAAACCCCCTAGCCAGGTTATCTCCAGAGTAAACTCAACTCCACTGCCTGGCCCTGGCCCATTCTCTGGTAACCGCTATGGTGACTTAATTCATCTGAGGGCAGGAGGTTGCTGCCTTTGTAACAGCTGAGACCCCACAGATTTAACACATATCTCAGCCCTGATCAGACAGACCACCACAAAACACCCACAAACAAATTAAAATGCTTCAAAAGCTCTGACCAGAGCCTGTGCTATCAGTACAATTTGTCCAACCAGTAGCTGTGCTCCCATGGAAATACAGCACTTAAACACAGCCTGGGAAGTTTTGTCCTCTATCGATGACCGGGACAGCACAGGCATTTCACCATCATCTACAAGGAACTGGCGGACCAAGCCTTGATAAGCACCACCAACCAGTATCTCCAATTACTAGCAAATTTGTTCCTGATATAGAAAACTAATCCTGGCTGGAGTCCCAGCTCCTCCTCCTCCTGCTACAAGCAGCACGCCAGTTGATCACGGGAGGATTTGGACTGGTTAGCCACAAAAGGCTACAGAGAAGAGGAACATCAGTGAAAGGGAACACCATTAAAGCAGGCATTCTTCAATAAATGCTCTGCCTTGTTCATCTAAAACAATGCTGCAACTAAAACATTCATGTGATCAGCAGTCAGCCTGCAGCTGAAGCTTTGCTTCGAGACCATGCTACCGAAGTGAAGGAAAGACATGACGATGACTCTGGAACATCACTGAAAACTTTGGTAGCGTGGCACAGCCTAATCCTCTCACCTGCCCTCGGGCGGGAGGATGTAAAGGCTTTATTGCTTTCCCACATCACTCACAAACCCGCGGCAGTGACCATATTAGAGTGGTTGTGAAGACTCTGCCCTTTCAATCTAAAACAGAGACATTCGCTCTTCAAGGAAAACGTGTACGTCCAGACCAAGATAACCACCCACCAGCCACGGGAAGAACAAATTCTTTCTGGTGCAACTTGCTGCTGCAGGCAGCTGCCTCTACATTTCCCAGCCTTTCAGAAGAAACGATCCTGCCTGCCTGGTTTATCTAGCTTGGCTACTGGGAGACACCAACACACCTTCCCCTTTGGCTGTCCCCTCCAAAAGCATCTGAAAAGCCAATCTTTAAAAGTATGTACTAAACCAAATATGGTTCATGGTGGAGTCATGTTCCAATATTCACAAAATTGAAGCTCTTTACGGTTTCAGTCAGAAGCAGCAGCTAATGCAGCGAGATGAGCTACAGCCAAAGGCACAGCCCTCCCCAGACTTTGTCAGGCATTCTGTTAATAGTGTATGAACACCATCTGGAGTCTAGTTCTCTGGGACCTGGCGCCTTTGAGCTTTAAACCATCCTTCTCACCCTGGATTGTATCACTACACTACACACACTCTTTAGCACTGCCAGAGGGAAGCAAACAGACAGTAATTGTAAAGACAGGAAACACATCTGTCAGCTTACACTAATTCTTGCTGCCAGCAGGCATATCCTGAAATGCATGCTACAACAGCATGGCAAACGTGAATGCACAGAGCCGGGACTCACTGCTATGGCAGCTTGGGGAAAAAACCAAAAATTTTAAACATCCACTTTTCCAGAACAGTTCTCAAATAATCTTTTTGCACGAGTTACCTAGCAAGTAAAAAACTAAGTAAAACATAAAATGTGTGGTGCAGGGTCCCTCTCAGGGTGGAGACCACACTGTCTGCTGCCGGCCACATATGGTATTTCCCCTGCATCCTGCCTCTTGCTCCTCAGAACTTTGAGGTAGAACAAAACAAAAGAAAACCCCAAAGGATATGGTGAACATTTAGAATTACATTAGCCATTTCCTTTCAAATAGAAGGCAACTGTAACTGAATGAGGAGGTAAGGAAAAACAGCTGGTTTGTCTAGGTAAGAGAAAGAAAAATTAAAAAACCCATCTCAAAAGGCCCTGAACAAAAACAACACGCGTGTTTGCAGCTGAAGTGAAATATCGCCGAGCAAGCATGCACAGTGACTTTTTTTTTTTTTAAATATACTCCGGTTCAGCTACCACTCTCCATCCCTCGCTTTCACATGCACAAAAACCAGACTTTAAAAAGCCCCCATACAGCTGCTATATAGATGCTTATTGCATTAAACTGAATAGCTTTCCTCCCCCCTCTATTTCTTAAAAAGAATCTTTCCCCCCTTGTTACACACTGAAGACTTCATAAACAAAAATTTAAGCGCTGTTTTATGGTATGTTATTTTAAGGGAAAGGAAGCGAAGGAGAGGGCTTTCCCACGGTTCGTTGTTTTTTTGCCAGCATCGCAGACTTTCAGTTTCAAAATATTCCCCACATTAAGAAATAGTCTTTTCTGTCTTAATTTAGTCAATATTCAGACATCAAAATGATAGTTTCCTTAGCCAGCCCTAAAGGTACCCAGGACACTCTGGCCATCTCCTGTTCTGCCTTGGATGTGGGGAGGCTTCTCCTCCCAAGTTCCCTTTCTCCTGCGCAGGGAGGAACTTCACTGCACCCCCCCACCACATTCCCCTGCAAAAATGCTCCCAATTTACCTTTTCAGAATAATGTTCAGCTGGAAGAGGTGGGTAGTCACATTGCTCTATTTTTTGGCAAAGAGAAAACAGGTTCATTTTGTCTCCATAGAAAGGACTCTGAAGAGCTGCCATCTGGAGAGAAAAAAACCAGACAATATTTCAGAAACACAAAGGATTTAATAGCCCTCAGTCCTGCTGATTTGCAAGAGCAACTTTTGTTGTTTGACAGTGAGCAAGTGATGATGTTGCTCTTTGAGACTGTCCACAGCCAAAGTTGCTCCAAGATCACGACAGGTTTGCATACCATCACAGGGCTGGCGCCAGGCCCACTGCCGCACACTTCCCAATGCCCCGCCATCCTCGCGCACAAGCGTGAGCGAACAGAGTTGCAGCAGCAGCACAGAGCTCCTCCTGCTATGCAGCACCCATCCCCATTAGAGAGGCGCCAGTGCCAGTCGTGCCCGCTCAGCACAGCCAGGCCCCTGCTCCAACACTGCTTTATAGTGCACCCCTGAGACGCCAGCCCCCGTCCCTGCCTCCCGCCGGAGCTACCCGTGACCATGACACACAGCCACTGGGCAGCACCGACCCTGGAAAAGTCTCTGTTTTCCTGCCACTGTGATTCTTTCTGCCCAAAACATTTCAGATGTGGGATGTTGGGTGTACACAAGCAATTCTACAGGTACACAGAAACCAGTACCTTTTTAAAAGCAAACAAACAAAATCAAGAAATAAGATGCTTGGACCATAGGGCAATCAGTTAGAAACCAACTGGCTCAAAGATGACTGTGAAAACCTCTCACCAACACAATGCCATCTCTTTAAAAAGTAGAAGCTGTTCTGTCTTTGGTAACATGTCATGGTTTCAATCTTCCTCGGTTAACAACCATATTCAGTTCATTTGCGCTCTGCAACTGGTAGATTTTTAATAGACTGCTACAAAGAATAAATTGATTTTTTTTGGACATTTAGGTACCTAGAATACAAAGAATCTTGTAAGCATGAGCAATGTACTTCAGCCTTTAAAAAAAAAGGCCCAAACGACCTCAAAACAAACATCCCCTCCTGCTGGAAATCTGCTATTTAGAAAAGAGTATCCCAGGCAGATTTGGGAACCAAACTACTGAAACTTTTCCGAATCAATCTGGTCTTTTTCCTCTTTCAATTTTGTTTTATGAATCCAGTATTTGCATCTCCAAAAATATGACAGATGTCCAGGATAAACAGGCAAGGAGAGCATGGTGGAAGGCTCTGGGTGGGGAAGAATTCCTTCCAGGGCATGCAGAGACTCCTTACAAAGATATGTTTATATTATACTTATGTCTCAGGAAGGAAACTGCATCTTTGTGTGTGCAAAACCATTTACACTGCAAGTTCCCAACCAGGTCTAAATGAACACTGAATGATGAGCCTCAGGAAAACAGCCGCAGCAACACAGGCACTTTTGAACTTAGAAAATGTGGCTTAAGTCATGTCTATTAAAGGTACACACGATGAGCTAAGCACCTTCTCTCTTGCTTTCCCACACCAGGACCCAAGCCCAGCAGACCCACCCATGGCCACTGGCCACGCCGGGCCCATCTGCTTGTTAGTCCAGAGTGTTACTCAAGTGCTGCTTGTCGCTGCTCGTCACTCTCACCGCCTGTCAGAGGCAGCCCCGCACCGCACAGCGATATCTCCTTCTAATGAAACACCACTGGATAATTGTGGATATTATCCACTCTGTTTAGATCTTTTTAAACCATTTTGCTACAAGCTGCATCAAATCGGCAAGCTTTTCATACTGAGGCCAGCTGAAGTTGACGCTTCTCACTATGGCTTTAATAGGGGGTTATTTGATGATTACTAGTCTTTTGCTCATTACCATGCGCTGTGAAAGCCATCTGAAGAATGCTGTCTTGTTGCTGACACACACAGCAAGGTCCCAACAGAATTAAAAAGAGTCAATACTTGATCCTCCACTCTATTATCCTGCAGTTAGGAATCAAGATTGATGGATTATTAATGATGTGGTGACAGACAAGCAGGTTTGATTAGGGCAGGGTTTTGAAATGCTGCATTTGGGCTGGATTTCCAGCTGCAGGACATGGCCCAGTGCAGAGGCATCCCCGAGCTGCCCACCCCGGGCACCGCAGGAGCAGGCTTGCAGCCGGGAGCGTCTTACCGAAACTTCATTACCATTAACACGCGTCCAAGTGTTAAGCAATGCAGGGGACACCAAGCTAAACTATCCTTGGTTTAAATCATAAACCTATCTTTTAAATAAAGTTATTATGTTTCTTCCTTGCTTATTTGCAAGACAAATTGGTTACTCTGAAATTAGTGAAAACACGCCTCAGCTGCAGGGGGTCACCTTGCACGACACAGCCATGCAGAGGTAAGAGACCCTCTGCAATGAGTTCTGAGCCATCACAAGAAGCAGTAGGATATATTCTGGCCAAATCTCCTTATGTACCACCAGACTAAAATATTTTTCAGGAAGCTCTTCCAGAGGTATTTATCAGATATCCAGAGAGGCTTATAAATGGCAATACAGAATATACGAAAGTACCCAAATTACACCGAAGAACACAATGAACTGAGTACATGGCTCCCAAAGACATCTCAGAAAATTCCAGGCTTGTTTTCTGTCTGTAATGCTTCATGTAACGTAGCTTGAGGTATTTGCTGTGCTAGTGACATACACTGTGCTTTGCTGCAGGCTGAGTGAGAAGAGGAAGTACGCCTTTAACAGCTGCACAAAACAGCGGGTTGGGGAACAGGCACACTTTCACACCTCTGTGGTTTCACCGCTATTATCAGTAGCAATATAGTAGTTAAGCTATTCCTCATAACCCTACAGACCTGAGGTTGAAGAGTTGCCCAACAGGCTTGTGAACAGAGCCCCAACGGGGCCCTGACAGCCCGGTGCTTGTGGCCCCTTGGAAGTTTTTGAAGGCAAAAGGTGAAGTTGTATCGCTGTCACTTCATTACTGTCATAACAGTAACAGGCAAATCAGTGGGGAAAAAATTACAGACTCCAATTAGAGACTCTAATCTCCAATTAGAGATTGATAGCAAACTGCTCTCAATCCGTTAAAACAAAACTGGAGAGCCTGGCACACAAGATTGTTCCAAGAAAAACACTAATGGATGCATTAGGGAAGGTGCAGAAGGCAATCAAGGGTTAAACAAGGTCTCTGAGATTTCAATACAAACATCAATAACGCCAGTAAGGTTGAAAGGGATTTTTCAATTCCCATTAACTTTTCTTTCCAGGTCTAGTTAAGTGGTCATGCGCACAACAGGAGGAACGAAAAGGAAACACCACGGGGTTTTGGAGTGGTAAATACAGGGAATGAAAATGGAAAGAGATGGCACACACGTTCTGACTGGAACAGTCAGGTCTGCGGGGGTCGTGACCACAGGCGCTCCAAATATCTCACTAACAACAGTTTGTGATGCTACATAGGGGTTTGCTCCTGACATTTTGATTAGAGCAATTACCGCAGGACAGCCAGATCTCCATTTAAAATGACCACCATGCAGTATGACTGGTTAAAAAATACATACATATAGGAATCACTGTTAGTGTTTAAATTGATCATCGTGCCAGAACTGCTAAAGTCATTGCTTGTAGCTATATTCTGGGAATTAACAACTTATTTTTATCCCCTCCAAGTTATCTTGCTGACAGATACCTAGAGGAAGTGAGGGATGAAGACAGTTACTACTATATTGATAAGATTTAATAAAAATCACTGTATGATTATCAATGTCAAAGTTAAGTGGTGCTATGTGGCATCACATCCCAAACCCCTCAGTGTGCCCTAAGTGGATTCCAGTGGACACGTGTGTCTCTGAAGGCAATTTGTACATTAAATCTCTCTGCAGCTTATCTACACAATCTATCTGGAGAAATATCAGAAGTGACTCATAACCAAACAAACATCGCTTCCTTACTTTTAAGCCAAATGGAAAAACATTCTTGTTACAAGAAATTAGTGAAGATAAAATACAGCTCCTTCAAAGACATACAAATTTGATTTTTCATTTTCCAAATTCTAAAAAGTTTAAAAGTCAAGTAGCTGTTTATCTGCTGAACACAAAATTGGTAACTGTCCAGTCCTCCTTGGAATTTGCAAGATCTCACAGCTCCTGTTCACAAAGTTAAGGCTTACCTACGTAGGAAGTAAATTTAAAAATGCTTCACATGCCAAATCTTTCATGTTACTATAGTACTGCTACTCCTACCAGAGAATTATGTTTAGTGCGCAATTAAGTCAGCTTCTTGAGATATAAGGAGTACCAAGACTACTGTACCATAAGGGGACCATATTGCCTGCAACAAAAACATATCTTAGCACAACGCTAAATATTTCTCTCTGCATAAATCTGGAATCCCATCTCCAGCAGAGCTCAGCCTCAGAAATGACTCAGAGCAGCCTGACAGAGAAGCTGTACACTACAGCAGCAAACGAGTAGCGGTGTGCAACTTGAGCGACTGACTGTTATTGATGGACTTGGCAAGTCCAACACACCATGGCAGGGCCAAAGTCCTCAACTCAGCAAAGCCTTAAACTGAGATTTCCTCTTTAGGCCCAATACATGAAGTGTACCTGGAATTGTTCAGCATAATGAATTACTGGGAGCTCAGGCTTCCTTCCCTCTGTTCCCACAGAGGAGTCTCCAAATCCTTTTTCAAACGCCACCAGCAGACCCAGGTACATACAGCTATACTGTACCATTCCAGTTTTCAGTATCTCATTAGAAGCATTACAAGCAAAACCATCCTTTATAAAAAATACCAGCTTTTCAATGATACGTTGCTGCTGCTGCTGCTTCGGGAATTATTAAAAGTCTCTTGAATTCTTCCACTAGAGGTAATGACAATTTGAGGACAGACACAAAACCATTCAATTTAAGTTCACAATTTTCCAAATACTTTTAATCAAGTACTTATCAGGGTGCCTTATGCCCTTTCTCTCCCTCCTATCCCATGGAATTTTAACAATAAATCAGCGATACAACCATGTTGGGCTCCAGTGTCTCCACCAAAGTGGATCTTCCCTTCAGCAGACCTAGTGGCTATTTGCTCCGATACTAGTAAGGCCAACACTGGGACTTGACACTGCTCGTGGTGACTTATGGGGCATTTATGCTAGACACCCACATAAAATCTTTTTCCTTAATTAAACTCCATGCCATGCCAAGTGTATAGAGAGTCAGCAGTTGTGAGCAGGCTGTCTGAAGAGCCTTTACGTCATGGTGCAAATACAGTCTTTGGATGGACACTGGTAGGAGGATAAGAAGAATGAATAGTTGCAGGATTTTTTACCCCCAAGAGCATTTTTTGGACCACATTCAAGTCCATAACCGCATCTGGGCCAGCTGTGCTGCTGTCTTACATGCGAGAAGCAAAGGGCTGTTAGAGTCGAGCCCCCAAGACTGCTTAAGTCCCTCTAGCAGGATTTTATCCATTTATTTCACCGAGTTTCCAGCACCAATCTCTCTCTGAAGATGCACACCACATGGCACCTTCCCACCATGCCAACAATAAATCAGCACCTATCAAACTGTATGACTCTGGTCTTGGTAGCACACTGATGACAGCAGATTACCTCACTGAACAAGCATTTAGTTGTATTAGATGAGTGTTCTTCCCCAAAATATACGAACAGTGACAAGTTACGGTAAAATTTACTTTTATACTGTCTTGTCCTAAAAGGTTTGTTTAATCAACTAGCTGAAGTACATGCTTAACTATAGTAGTTTTCACATCTGATGTGCTCACAAAATAAACTACATTTCTGTTTATTCTCTAAGTCCATGTGGTTACAAGAAGTTGTAGTGAGAAGCAAAATGTCATCAGTTCACATCATTTATTATCCAAAGAGGATGTGAACAATATTCTTATTACTAAATATACCAGGAATTTTTAATTCTCTAGGCTGGGATAAAAGCTTTCTAAATGTTGACATGCACTTTCACTTGAATTCAAAGATGCATACATTTAAAAAAAGATTAAGATTATATTATAAAGGAGTACAAAGACTGTTCAATACCCTTTGATCCCTGCTAAAAATGAAATCACAAAACTCAAAGTACTGTTATAAAATCATAGCTTTTAAGAGTTGCACACTAAGCGCAGGGATGCCCCATCCCTGGAAACATTCCAGGTCAGGTTGGACGGGGCTCTGAGCAACCTGATTAGTTGAAGATGTCCCTGCCCACGGCAGGGGGTTGGACTAGATGACCTTTAGAGGTCCCTTCCAACCCAAACTATTCTAAGATTCTGTAAGTGTGTAGTTCATACAAAGTGTGCCTGCTTTGTATCTGTGCATTTGGCTAGAAGACAATGTACAATTAGAAAAAATTCCAGCTATAGTCTAATAAAGCTAGAGAAACCGATTTCACATTACATAAAAACTCTGGTTTTCTTTATTGAAAGTGCCCAGAATTAAAATACTCCAATTGGTCAGAATTCAATTTAACAAACCAGAAGCTTACATCCAAATGAATTTGCTATTTTAAAAACAAATGCAGTATTCAGGAGAAACTATGAATATGCTGCCCTAATAACAGCTCTGCTCACAGTAGGAAGAAGAATGCAGTAAGCTGGTTTGTTTATGTCTATATCCTCAGCATCTACTGTGACCAAATTAACTTTGTGTAAGTACTGTCCTGTACGGCACAATCCCTTTGTCATTCATGCTCAAAAAGCACATGATGAGCACAAAAAGAGTTAACTTTTCATAAGGTTTCTCAACATCTAAGCTAAAGTAAGCCTGACCTATTCAATTCCTGTACTGTATTGTGTGGTTAAGACAAACCTGGGGAAAAAAAAGTTAGAAGATACTTGCCTCATACAATAAACAGCCCAAAGACCAGATATCAGATTTAAAGTTATAGCCGTTCTCGTGTATTCTTTCTGGGGACATATAGTATGGAGTTCCCACTGTAAAAAACAAACAAACAAAGAGTTATCATCTTTAAAAGTGACTGTACAACCTGTATTATACAGAAGTTTGACTTCATTAAAGGATTAGGTTTAGCACAAATAGCTAATTAGAAGAGACTGGCACAAAAATTTGGAAACAAATCATGGTTTCGAAGGTGTAGTACCAAATGTATCATCACATACAGAGCTAGAAGACTGGTGAACACTACTAAAAGTATCTTCTGTATTTTTGAAATTTGAGGAACGTTTTCTTCCCCTTCCAGTCTTCCAAGTAGCTTCAGAGTGCCTCAGACGGACAGAGCAATCGTAAAGGATCATCCTCCTTTGGTTCACTCAACAGCATCGAAACTGCAAGTTAGATGTCATGAATGTACTCTGCTAAAACAAGAATCCCATGACAGCGTATCAACGTTCACCTGACACACACTGCACTAGCAGCATGACAGAGCGGCTCCAGATATGACGGGGGACCCTTTTTAAGAGTTCAGGAGACCATTTACTGCAGCAGAGAAATGGAAGTAACAAGCCCAGCACCAGACAGGTATTCAAAAACTTTCTGAAAGAACCAAGATAATCATTCCGAACTTTAAAATACCGCTCCAACTTACAGTCACGTCAGAAGCTGTGGGATTTCTATGTACTTCCAGAAGTCTATATTTTATCAAAAGAAATTTACTCCAGCATTTTGGACAGGAGTTACAGGAAATTATTAATAAATTCCTTACCTCAAAAAGGTTCTTTTTCAAATCCTAAATAAGTTTCAGTTGTGGTACTGAAAATAGAAGACATCCTGGCAGTCTCAACTACATCAAATAATCCTCAGATACATCATTTATTAAAACATCCAAGGACTTTACATGCTCTCTCTTCTCCTGCTTCCCCTGCTTGCCTGTCCCCTGTCAATTTTTTTTTTTTTTTCCTTTTGGCATTCCAGTGTATCCTTCTCCTAATTAAAGAACTTTCCTCACAAGATGGCAAATGTTTAATTTGCCTGTAACATTCAGTTTACAATTTCTCCATTTGAAATGCTGACTGCAGACAGCTGGAAGACTAATAAGCAGATGAAGTACGGTGTTAGACGTGGAGGGGGAAGAACAGCCACCAGCTTCCCCCAACGTTCCTAAGGAGGGTTTGCACCTTAAATACTCACAGCATTTTCTTTCTCTGGGGTGAAAACTAGGCAGCTTACCTCAAAACAAAACCAACACCCCCCCCCAACCCAACACCCTTCAATCTTTATTCTACATTTCTGTCATGCATTTATATGCCCAAACCTTGAGTCTACTGAACCTCAACAACTTTTACTCAGAGCTATTCAGAAACGTAGCATATAATGTGAAATTAATTCTATGGCATTGGTGTGAAACATAAGATGTTACAGGAATACATATATAAAACTCCACTTCCCAAAACAGACCAAGTAACCAAGAAAGGGGACCACCTCCCTGACTGGCTCATTTATTTGGTCCCCCAGGACCTTCAGTAATCAGCTGCCCTATATGATAAACTCAGCTTACACTTGCAGTCATTCAAATAAGAAATTATTTCACTTTCAAGGTGAAAGAGTACCCTAACAAGAAATTACATTTTTGCAAATTCTATACAAACTACAACACAGGAAAAATAACACATGGAGATTATTATATTTCTATGCTCAGTAATATCATATCCAGCCTAGGAGCATGCCAAACTGACATTGTCCCAGATCTGGCTGGTTTTAATTGCCAGTGAAAGGCCTCTGTGTATGGATGAGACCAGAGTTCTCTTAATAGTTAATAATTCTTAACAGACTGCACAGAGTAACTTCACAGAACACCAAAAGCAGACAGGACTCGTTCAAAGAATCCAGCAAGGCTTTCCATGGATCTCTCCCATGTGCATGCAAGATGCATACAATGGACAGCACAGCTCTCCAAGTAATTCCCACACATTTGCCAGATTTCTGTACAAGAACCAACTTGGTTGGAATAGCACTGATTCATTTTCCTGCTTAAAAATATGCAGCTGCAGAAGAAATGGTGATTCATTATGTGAAGTTCTTGAAGACAGTTTTGGAAGTCCCCACTGAGCACCAGTGTGTAAGACACTTCCCTACCTTCAACTTCACAGTGCTGCTGCTCTTCTCAAATCTGCCAGGAGAGTTAACAGAGCAGATGAAGCAGAAGACATGCTAGTCCTTCACTGACAGCAAGTACGGGAGCTGAGCACGGGCAGACAGCAGCACGCAACTGGCAGGAGGGAACACAAAGATTATTCCCACTCTTGCTCCCCCAAGTCTTCGTGCTTCAGAGTGCTGGTGCCAGGGGCAGCCTCCAGCCGTAGCTGTTCTTGCGATCTGTTATTCTGGGTCACTGCGTGACAAGCTCAGAGCAAATAATAACGCGTGGGCTCTAAAGTTATGGCCTTGCCTTCCATGTTAGCAGGGGTCTGCTTGGTAGGCTAAAATTGTCGTTTCAGATAATGCCTCAAAACGACCTTCGATCAAAGCAGAATGACAGGGTTTATAATACGGATGAGTGCGTTATAGCCCATATTTGATTTTCTGTGCATTAGTCTGTTCCATTATATTAATATGTCTGTGGAGCAGTCCACGCCTGAGCTGATTTTATGAAGTCTACCTTGCACATTTACCTATCATTACTGTAGTGTTGTCAGCAAATGTATGAACAAGCAGGTCTCTGCGTTTCAGAACTGATGCATTAATTTTTAAATAACTGTCGTGATAAAAGACTGACAAGCCCAATCCTCTTTATGGCCTGTCCAACATTACGTGGGAATCTCCTGTAATGAGCATCTTCTAGAAAACCGCACAAGGCTTCCAGCGCAATCAGTCAGGGCTCACCATTGCATTACATTAGTCAATTTGACAAGAATAGTCTAATCCGAGACTATTAATCAGAAACTTTCTTTGGCATTTGCCCTGCTGAAAGTACGAAATATTGTTCAAATTCAATATTAATCACCAGCTGGTAGAGTAATGCCTTTAAAGTTATAAAGGTCGCAAAACGGTAGAGAAGATTATGACTAAGTAAGCATTCTTCCTGTTCTATTCCTGAAAGTCGAAACACTTCACTTGAATATCAGCATACTTCAGCGGTACCAAAACGTTTTTTCCTACTCTCCCCAGCACTGTCTGTGTGCACAGCTACAACACCCACACAAACCAGAACATCTCTGGGATATCTGCAACACCCAAGTTAGGGAAATGCTAATTATTCCAAGTTAGATTAAGAGCAGAGTCTCTTGTTTCACCAGGAAAACATATAGGCAAAGGCAGCAAAGTTATTCCAGAAATAAAATTCAAATTCCTTTGCTCTCATATATAGTTTGAATTAAAAAGCCTACCTGTGCAACTACAGCAACCAGTGTGCATAGGTACTCTTGAGCTGAATTCCCACATCTGCCAGAGAAACACCCAGGTAAAGAGCTACATTACTTCTGAATTCAGCAAGTCTTTCACTACACAGGGAAGATCGTGCTCACTCGTTTTAAAAACGTTTTTCAGCTTGAATCAGACGAGTTTTGTTGTTGTGAAAGTGACAATGGCCGGATTATTAGTACAGTCACACACAGGATCGTTATTTTCTATACAGATCTTCTCCCTGTGCAAATACAGTTCAGCCAGGGATCAATGCTTCCTGTGAAATTCATCCTTAGCTGCACATAGGCAGAAACAAGAGAAAATCTGATTCATATTTTTAGGAGGCTCTATCAAGAGTCTCATTCACTGAATTTAATGTACCACAGACGAGTCTCTTGCCACAGCAGTCTCCCGCACCTTTAGGCAGACTGTCATTAGACTGAAATCAGTGCAGAGTATTTCCAAATATTTTAATAGGCTGTGTACATTGGGGTTTTTTAATGCTATAAAAAATAAGCATCTCTTGAAATTAATCAAACTCCATAGCCATATTTGGCTGCAAAGTACAAGAAGAACAAGTGATAAAGAATGCTTTTATTGTTCTGCCTTCACCAGCACCTTCCAGCTAATCTTTAATACTGAGCTGAACAGCGTTTCTGAATCTATCATTTTCTTTCTCACAGCAGGGAACACAGTTCTGAATATGAAAGAACCTAACAAATTCTGACCTTTATTGTATCTTTACAGAGTATTCCCAGTTTCAAACCAAGAGATATCAGAGCGCAACGCAGGCCTCAAAGGGGTAATACTGATTAAAGCACTCCTTCATTCTAGAGATGTTCCAAGTCCTGTCAAAACAAACTTCGCAATGTTTTGAAATACTTGTGATTTTTGAAACATGCTCATTACAAATGAAAAAGGCAAAGAACTATGCTCAAAAACCTAAGATGCCATCCATGAGTAACAACGAACCACCCAGTTTTCAAAATAATAATTAAGTATTTCCAGAACTATTAGCTTAGCTTTAACATGTAAGACACACTATTACGTATTCCATGAACATACATACAGTTGAGAAAAATATTTTAGTGTGTTTTAATAATATCCGGTGGTGCAAACACAGCAGGGAGGCAATTCTACTTGAAAATGAAAGTCCACAACCCTCACCTGTCTCATGTCTCCAGACATGCTTGTAGGTTACCAAGAAAAATTTACAGCATTATTTAAAGGGAGTCTAGTTCATAAGTATCTGTTTCTAAACACTTGCATTACTTGGGATATATTTCCAACAAGAAGGCTGAGGTCTTTTCCCAGAAGGAGATTTTGGGAATTAGCTCAACTTTTGAGAATTAGCTAAAGTGAAACAGTGATCAAAGGCCCTAAAATACACTTTAAATTCCTTCAGATCTCAGTGTGAGGTACCCCCATGAATTGTTGGGGTGGGGGGAGATTAAATCTGCTTATTCTTACAAGAGAATAAATATTTTGTGCATAATATTGCAGCTGTTTTCACAAGACCTGTTGCTCTAAGCTCTCTATTTTTTTCTTATTAGTATTTAATTACATACACAACCCTACCGAAGTCCTTATAGTTTTTTGGTTTTGTTTTTTTACACGTAGGTAGTACAACATACCTGCAGTAACTCTGCAGCAATCTTTTCTTCCACAAATATTGTAGTACAGGCACAGACCAGAAGGGCAAAAATTCTCAAAATGCACAGAATATCAGCTGTTGAAATTTTAAATGGATTTCTTGTGTCCATTTTTTCTTAACAAGTACTGCTTACTAGCCCCTTGAAGTACTGTGATTTTTGTTTCAGATGGCCAACTGGCTTGGCAAGCAAAAGAAAAAAAGAAAAAAAAGAAGACAAACAGTCCAGTTATAAAAGAGCTCTTCTCATGACTGCAGTTACTCCCTGTTCGCCCTCATATCTAACAAGAAACGTGCAACACCCCACGTACTCCAATTCACAGCTATTTGCATGTTCTAAACTGTGAAGCTTTGACTTATATGTATCCCCCAAAAGGAAAATCTGCTCCAAGTTTATTCTTGTCCAAGAATAAATAATAAATCATCTGCTCCAAAACAAGACTGTTCTGTGTAAAACTGGTTTTTGGTTTTGGTTTTTTTTTTCTTTTCTCTCTTTTCTTCAAAATGTAAAGCCAATCAGAAGCTTTGCATAATGTCAAGTTTCTGTGGCTAAAAGTGGGCCTTATACCAGTTCACAATAAAGTTAACCATTTTAATATTAATGGAAATTCTTTATTTTACAGCTCCTAGTAAAATCTACCAGCTTACTGTTAAGTTTTCCAAAGTCTATGCAGTTTTTAAATATGCTCTGCTGTTTATAATTTGTCTTATAATTAATTAGGTTTTATAGCAAAATTAATGACTTAAAATTTTCTAACAAGCATATTAGAATAGCCTTAACTGACAAGATATTCCCCTGGATGCCTGCCTGAGATCAACAAAATAAATAATGGACACAATCAAACACTAAAACAGACAAAAAAATGCTCCTAGCCCTATTAAATCTTGAATGAAAGAGACGACACCTGGAAGCACATCACACACCAGTACTGTAAAATCAACCCAAACTGCGTGGTGTCACACACCCGAACTCCAGCATCCAGATGTCATTTCATCATTACTGGGTGCAAAGCCCTGGGTTAAGCATAGTCATTTTCTGTAGTGAAACAGCCTGTCAAACAGGTATCATATGGCTCCTCTGGGGAAAAAAATAACCATACAAATGAAATGGGGAAAAAAAAAAAAAAGACTATGAATGTAGTAAAATGCTCACATTATAAACTGTGTAAGAACAGCCTGTAAAAGAATTTCAAGAAAATAGTAAGAAATAGTAAGCAGTACTGAAAATAAAATAAAAATGAAAAAACATTCGTCCTCATTTCATGCTGAATTGCTCCCCCATTCCATCCTACGCCCCTCAATAAAATGAAGTTTTGTGATATGCAAGTCAATCTCCATTAAACTAAATCCTGGAGCTTCTGCTACAGGGGAGCTTAAATCAGGGAAGGAAGGACAGTAAGCCACCATGTTGTAACAAGGAGTAGTAAAATTCACCTTAGCTACACTCATTACCTTTAAAACATGGGAGTTGTCTGGTAAAGGTTGTGCATGAAGAGCTCTCCCTTATGGAAAAGTATCTCCTGTCTTCTCTTACAAGTCATACAGGGAAAAGGGAAAGCGGCAGAAGAGGTGCCACCTGGTGAATTCACCCACACCCTCCAGCTGGTTTCTGGTTTCTCACCCATCCCACAATACTGCTGCCTTTCCCAACGCAGTTTTGTTACTTAGTGAGGCAGGAGGTGTCCATGCTTCCCCTCTCGCAGGTCTGCCCGTGGAGGTTTTCCAGGGGCCGGGGCTTTCCCTGCCTCACAGTCGCCCCCTGCCCCGGCAGTGCTCCCGACTGGCTGTGCCGCCAGTCAGGCATCCTGCCGCTGCTCCGAGCAAGGCGTTCGCCTGCATCTCGCGAGCTGTGTATGGGCAAATCTTTCATTTTTCTTTCATTACCCCGGCATGTACTGTCACTTAATTTTTATGTATGCAATCCTTCCTGACAAATATGATCTGCTGCCTGGTAATTCATCTGACGTTCATTCTGTTCCTTGCTCTAATTACGGCTCTCATTCCTGACGCGGCAGCGGCCATGCTGCCACAGCCCAGTGGTACACCTGTCAGACGGGTCGTGGTACTGCCTAATGCCCTTTTATGCCAGTCTGATGCTAGCAAATACAAAGAAAGAAAAAAATTAGATGAATATATTTGCATAAGCCGTGCATTCAATTCATGGGTCAGCAGCCAGAGAAATTGTGGTTCAGGGTGGTTGCCGGGGCAACGCGGCTACGGGAATTGCCCGGCATTGCAGCCTGGGTCCACGCGGGTACCACGCTCTGGTTTGCAGGGTGTTCATCACTCACGGCTACTTAAACAAATGTCTTAATTAAACCAAAACCAAGATCAGTAGAATTCCCGCTGCTAAAAAACCCATATGTCTGGCAAATTACAAAAAAAAAAAAAGCTTCAAGTCTGCATATTTTTTGATTGTAAAAATGTTCTTTTTACTTGGATACAAGAACCACTGGAATGGTGGTGTGTCCATCCCTCCCACAACACAACACACTGTCTCCAGTATCACTCACTGCTACTCCTTTAGTGTTTTGCACCTTATGCACCTGTTTCCAGGATGCTGTTGATTTGAGGAAGGGCGAGGTTCATACAGAAGAGGCTTAACTCTTCCTACACAAGCTTTCTCAATTAAGAGAGAGCAACCCTGGTAAAGGTCACACGCTTGGCTTACATGTGCAGCCAGTTTCCAAGCCCCAATTTATTCTTATTAATATAATAACTGCAGCAGTCAAACTAGGTAAGATCATATAATTAGACATGATCGTATTTTTGCCTGTTCAGATGGTGCGATTGTAACTTTCTGTGAAGAGGATTTATTTTAATCTATGAAGTGCAGTGTGTGTATATAACCTAGGATAGCTTTTGATGCAAAGAGAAATCTAATATTTTATGAAAGTAAACTGTAGAAATGCTTTTTTTTTTTTAAGCACACACAAAATAAGGCATGTATCTTCCTTTCTTGTGTACTGAGGAGCCCCAGTGTTGTTGGCGAGTATTATCAATTAAGTTTGTACACATATAAGAAACAAATCAAGCAAGACTCACACTCAGTGGAAGAAATTGCACAAATAGTGAAACAAACACGTTGTGTTCCAAAATCTACTGAGAGCTAAATGTAAAAGAGCTTACATACTGCACTAAAAGCCAAAGTTCCTCCACTGCTGTAACACAGAAGTACCTTTGTGACTCAAAAAATTGAGACCCATTAATAAAAATGGAAAATCAGTCGCCTCTCAAGAGGTTACAGACACAATTACGAAATACTTCATACTTTAAGACTTAAAGAATGAACTGTATATACTGTATACTTTTCTATAGCATTGTAATTAATGCTAACAGTAAAAATGAGGGAGAGAGGAACCCAGATGCTCTAAACCAGTCAACTTAATTTCAATTCCCAGAAAAATGCTGGAGGTATAATCATGCTACTTGTAAAACACAGAAAAAAGAAAAAGAAATGAATCATCATCATCATGATGACTGGTCCACAAAACATCATGACAGATGATATAATTTCTTTCCATGATAAGGTTAAGAGGCTTCAGAGGGAGGGAAACAGAAGCAACAGATGTATTACAATTTCAACGCTTTTATCAAAGGCTTATATAACTTTACTTATAAGCAAACTGTTAAATCTGTCTAAATGAAACTACTTAATGGATGCAAAATTGGTCGGAAAAAACAGTTCCCTGTCAAAGTAGAAGGCTACTTCAAGTGAAGTCCTGCACGACAGTGATAGCTCTGGTTCTGTTGAACACATGCATTAACACAGGGGACCGTGGCAACACTATTGCCTTTGTGGATAACAAGTAGCTGGGATGAACCAAAGCACAGCAAAGTACTGAATAAAAATTCAGAGTGATCGCAAGTAAGAGTCTGGAAACGGTTTACAATTCAATAAGAATAAAAGCAAGGTACTATGCTTTGGCAAGAACAATTAGTTGCACCAACAGAAGAGCAGGAAAACAACCTTGAGATCTGGGGAAGACATTAAGAAAACGCGGCTCTTTAAAGCCTAAGCTGAGTTTCAAGTGAAGTCCCTTTTTGGAACAGATGAACCGTGAGGGCTTTGAACGCTTCCATCACCTCAGACGACAGTCACAACCCCTGTTCAGGATAAGACTGCTGATCAGCATCTGCTAAAAATGGTGGTGGTGTGACATCAAATTCCAGTAAGCAGAGTGCAGGCAAACATGCCATTTAGAGTGGAAAAGCTGCATTTGTTACATTTGCTATAAATCATACACTTACCAGGCCAGACCCTCCAGGAAAAAAATATCAAGTGGAGTTTTAAAACAAGAAATACCTATTAATTTCATACGAAGAGTATTTAAAATACGTATCACAGAAAACATAGTATGCATCCACTGAATCAAGCTTCTGTCATAGTAAGAGGACAGACACCACTTCTTTTGAACATCACAGCTGACAACCGTACAAGTACCATCTTACCTAAGGAATGTGCTGCAGTGGTTTTAGAACTAAAAAACCGGCCTAATCCAAGATCTCCCAGCTTCACCACCCCTGTGGCTGTTATAAACACGTTGGCTGGTTTTATGTCTGCAAAAAGAAAAAGGTAAAAGGTCAAAGCCTCAAAAGGTTATTTGGTTCTAATACTGCAACAGAAACACAGCCTGGAGCACGCTCTGTACAAAAGAGGCTCGAGCAGAACTGTGTTTCTTTACAGCTTTGATAAGCTCAATCTTCCAAGACTTCAAGCTCTGCACATACACAAAAATCAGAGTATACTTCCCAGCACACAAGAAATACCAATGAGGGAAAAATGTAGGAAACAGCACAACAGAATAGAGGCAACCTCTTTAAATGATGGAAATCAAAGAAATGAGTCTGCTTCTCTTTGGAAATGATCGTTTTCTACAGGAAACTGTACTGCCCGCCATGGTCCCCTCACACCAAGGGCAAATTATTGTCCCACATACACATAAATTCTGGGCTCTATACAGCCCAGTTTGTTCATGGAGTGTAAAAATTACTAGAACCCTGGTTTCCCAAGCAGTCATGTCAGGATTGAGTTAGTGAGGCTCTTTCCTCACGTTAAAGCAGACTAAATGCGCGAGGCTCCAAATTTCAGCCACCAATTACAGACCTAATTCAAGTACAACTGATAAACTGCATCAGGGCATGTATAAAGGAGCAAAGATGGTATCATATTGCTGGGGAAAAAAAAATAGTGAAGAATTCACTACTTCAAAGGATAAAGGAAGTAACAAGCAGCAGAGGCTGGTATTGGTGCCTTTCGGGATATTTGCATTCCCAGGTCAAGTCCTTCACAAAGCATTTCATTTACACTGAAAGCAGCAACATAATTTTTGGATAGAGCTCAAAGTTACGAAGAGTTCTAAGACAAGAGATTCAAAAATAAGTAATGAAAACTAAGAACAGGTTATGAAAGTGTGGGACATATTTGTATTAACATTTCAGAAAAGCTCGCAAGACAGAAAAACTCTTCTAAACTCTCTAAGGTCACAGCTAATATAATGAAGACTATTTCTTAGAGTTCACTGTATCCCGTAGTCTCAGCATTTTACTTCTGACACTTTTCTACTGGCAAGTTTGACACTTCTACTTAATATCAGTGTCTGGAATACAAAGCAGCTCATCTTCCTAATACCATACTCACTTCGGACTGAATCCTTTAACAATGAGGCAAAGAGACAGAAGGAGAAATCCATCCTGCAAGCTCCAGCCTCTCTAAACATGCATTGGCTGAACATCAGCATAATTGTTTTTGAATGTAGGCGCTTACTAATTGGAACATTATATTATTATTCAGTGAAAAGAGACTGAATTAATGTTACCTCTGTGCATCACCCTGCGGGAGTGCATGTGTTCAACTGCACTGCATAACTGCACAAAATATTTCCACACCGTCCTTTCCGGGATTAACCGTTTCTGCTTTTTAAAATACTGTGGGAGGAAATAAATAAAAAGATCAGTGAAAAAGCAACATATTTGACTCGTTCCTGGACTCGTGTTAGTGAGCTGCAGGTTGCTCATGTCTTCCAGATCTGCAGCAGCATGACTTTCCTTCTGATTAGCTTTTAACTCCTTCTCTCTGTATGTAAACTTCAATGCAGTTCGCTAATTAACAACTGTTATGAAAAATATGCTTAAATAGGTTTGACATTTTTGAATGGACACCAATTATAATTAGCATTAATCTCCTTAATTACCTTGCAAAACATATTTAATGCCTCAAAACAACAAATGTCTCAAATATTTTGCCTTAACAAAAGATCATTAAAAAAAATCTTGTAAACCTTCATTATTGTACAGTCTATTAACAACAATAAAGAAATCTGTTTCCCCTTTTTAAAAGACGGCCAGAACATCAATAAAGTATCCTTGTTTCTTCTGTGATCAGGTAGAACAATATATTCTATTTCATACATAATAAGAATATTAAACTAAATGAACTATCTCTAGTGAGACAGAAAGACACTACTGATCAAGAGACACACAGATCTAGAAAAAGACTGTTTTGTGTGTATTTATGCAGCACCAAGCCAAGTTAAGTCTGGATTCAATGGACCTCTGGGCGCTAATAGCTCTCAAATAAAATAATCTTAAGCATAAAGCACACAATATGAAGGAGTGCAGCATGGTGACAGTTCTCTGGAATACTGAAGTATTCTTCCCGAGCAACTTATTACAGGAATAAATAACCAGCTGCACACTTCAGTGAAGGCTAAACGTTATGTATCTTCGACTACTCTTTTGTCATTTCAGAAATGCACAACAGCCGCGCACATCACACGCAAAGCATGACCGCCTCCTCCATGGCATCCCAAAATTGCACTACTTCAGATTATTGGACCCTGACTTCTCATTGCTTCTTGCCGTGCTAGCTACTGAGACAGTTCTTCATCCAGAGCATTAACAAAACACACATAATATGTTTCCAGAGGTTTAAGATTTATCCTCATCCTTTGATATACAAGGTGTCATTGGATAACGACTATCTCTGAAATGCTGTACACCCTTCTAGCACACTGCAACTGCATTTCTTTTGCATCGTACCCTTGAGAATTTCCACAGCAGCATGCAAGAGCAAGAATAAAGGAAGGGAATTGGTTGTTGCCCCTTTCTGCATCTTGCACTTTTTCCTCCAAGTACAGACATCTGATGTCCATTGTCACATTTTATATTTTATGTGAAATGCTGTTACTGGCTCATGTTTGACTCAAGTAATGGCAAATTTTCTTTTGCAGATCAGCTGTGAAGGGGCACGACCGTGCAATTCCCCAGGCAGCAAATCTGACAGATTGCAACAGTTTCAAACCAAAACTTCATAGAGAGCACAGAGGAATTACAGAGGGTGAGGGATAAAGTGTTATATACATGATAATATTATTTAATTCTCATTAAAGTATTTAAGAGTAGCTATGCAAGACCACAAGTGATAATGTTCTAAATGTCATGTCCAATAAGATTTGCCTGACATTTACAAGAAAGCCCCAACTCTCCAGTGGGTTATCCTGCAGCACTCTCTTACATCAGCTTTACAATACCTCATAAATAATGCAGGCACGAGGGGCGTGACAAAGACAGTCCCTGTTTTTATCACTCTCGCACATTCAGAGTGTTGTTACTGCTGTTCCTACCGCCTCGCTGAAACTGAGAATCTTCACATAAGCTTAAATTCCAAAGGGACAAGTGGGGCGTGGGGGTGACACAGAGGGGCAGCAGGCAAACTCCACTTCTTCAGTTAAAGCTATGTTGAGGACAAGAATTTCGTTCTTGTTTTTAAGGGTTTTTTTTCCTTTTATTAAAAAAAAAAGGAATTCAAATATTTGCACCAATGGAAAAACATCATTTATATGACCTTGAAAAAACCTAGTGCATCTTCTTCATGCCTGCAATAGACACGTGGGAAAAGAGACCAGACTGGGGAGTGCTGGCAGAAAGAACACAAGTTACAGTGCTGTTCAAGTTATCAACTTAAGAATCTACAAATTATGTTTTGGGAAATGTAATTCCTATTTATAATGACATAAAAAGTAATTTTAAGAAAATTAAATAACCAACCCTGATAGATAAATGAACATATTTATCAGTAGGGCAAAGTTTAAACTAAAAACTGTAAATGACAAAAAAAAGCTAGTATTTTATATGATGATATCTAACAATTATGTAGGTAAAACGTTTTATAGGCTAAGATTTAAAAGTCAAGCAAAACACTAGCACATCCCATGATGATCACAGCCCTAACTCCTGCTCTCACAATCCTCACTTTTTTTTTCCCCATCTTTAACCACAACTACTGAAAGCCTGAGATAAACTGCAAGTTTCCCAGGATCTGTTGGGAAAAGGGTAAAACATACGAACAGCCACAAGAAAACAGTGAAAGATAAAAATACATGAGCTCTCCCCAGGCAGAAGGACAAGCTCTGTCTCCACAACCCTCAGTGAGCACAACCAAGACCCTGACACCCGCGGCTGCAGGAGGCAGCTGCCTTTGGCGCGAGTCACCGTGCAGTCGAGGTAGCAGCACCAGCCCACACGTACAGCTTCGGTCACCGCCGGCTCGTCCCTCGGGTTCGGGGCAGATCTGACCATCGCTCCTGCTACTGAGAGGCTGCAGAGTAAGGCCATATCTGGAATTTTGGGGCTCTCCCCTTGAATGGCTCTGCCAGCTGCCTGTTCCCAGCTCACTCGCCCAGGGGGACTCTCCTATGAGATGGAGCAGATTTTCATGGATACTGTAAATTTAGCCGCTGACTATGGACTAAATGGATAACTTGTTTGACAGCCTTTGGCCTAGTGCCTCATAGCTCTGCTGGCAAAGAAAACAAATCTGTTAATAAGATATTTTAACTGTGACAACAAGGAGGAGGAGAACTTTCCAAACATTCATTTATGATAATTACAGAATAATGATGGCAAAAAAACAGGTAAAACATGGAGAGAAGGTTGACAGTGCTAACAAACATGATGTAACACATCTGTTCTCACAAGGGATGTACGTCTAAAGATTAACACGTCAAAGAAAATATAAAAGCAGGTGGTAACAGCTTAACTAAAGCCGGTTTGCAGCAATACAAGTATTCCTAAGAGCAACGTAAGAGAAGAACAAGTACTTGAAACATTTTCTCAAACCCAAATCCCCATTGCAAAGAAAGTCAATACACTTTCTTGAGTGTCTTCAGAGTGGCAGACAGGCTATGTGAATAGTAAATCTAACAATAATTAAATGTCCCTATCAATCACAGACTGGATAAATGAACCTTGCAAACACCGCACACGTCCCACCAAATCATACAGAGGCTTGCTCCCTTCCGGGGCAGCGACTAGAAGCAAGTGGCATAGCCTGGTGTATTTAAAATGCCACCAGACACTGGTTTAGGCTCTGGAAGCACCCTGTGGGTATGTAAAACCACAACAGGAGAATAAAAGTGCTTTAGCACAGACGTGCTTACCCCCACCGCCTCCTGTCTCTGCCTAATCCTGAAAGTTTGTAGCACCTCTAGAACTGACACATCCTTACCTTAATCATCTGAGAGAGATCACCAGCATCGGCCAGTTCCAGGACAATGTTAAGTTCATTGTCTTCAATAAAAGAATCCAAATACTTAATTATATTGGGGTGGTTCAGTTGCTGCAGATAGCGGGAATGCAAGAAGAAAATGCATAACACTGTAAGTAATGACAACTCCAAGATACAATACCTGTACCGTTTTTTTAATCATTATACGAAACAGCTCATAGCAGGTACAACTACAAACTGTGCTCTGGGTTATTATAGACAAAAATCCTGTAAGAAAAATCATTTATCGCAAGCACAGCATAATAAAATTGTCTTGAGTAAAAAGCAATACGGCCCAAAAAAATGTGAAAATGCTTTTAAATATTTTGTGAATTTACAACAGAAAAGGCTATGTCCTGAAAGAGACTTTGTTAAGCAATAACTGATTTTTTTCCCCCCGTTAAATATAAAAAAAACCCCAACTGTTGATTACAGTACTCCCTGAGGTATCTTTGCCCCTTAGAATAACAACAGAATTAAATTAAAACTTTGATGGAAGAAAATAATGCACAAATTGCATACGTCAGTCTATTTTTCTGATTATTTATGCTTGCATCTGCACTAATTACTTTCTTCATTTCAGTATAGGTTTTTCTTATATTCACAACTGGTATTTTAATTTTTTTTTTTTCCTCCTGTGTTTCTTAAAACTTTGCATCTTTTCAGATTGTTATGCTTTACTCACAGGACTAAATTAAGAAACAGGCTCAACAAATTAAAATTTCTGTTTTAATATTTTATGTCTGAGTTTCTTAAAGTGGAAAACTGTAATTGCTTAGAAGATAATGTAGTATCTAGATCTCTCTATTCACCCTCTCTTGCTCATTTTGCATTAGATTATCTTTGTCTTGTGCTCTTAGAAATGCAGTCAATTTAGAAACTACTAAAGTGAGCATTTCATCTACTAAACAGCTGTGACTCAACCTGTCTATTCCAGGGGTTACAAAGCCAAAAGAAACACTGTTATGATCCATCATACTAATCACTCCTCTCTGCATGCACATTAGGGGATAGATTCTCCTTTGCAATGCCTCGACACTAGCGCGCATTAGCGTTAATGGGATCCATGTGCAGGCATCAGGAGAAGAACATTCCCACAAGACCAAGCCTCAAATAAATAAATAAATATCACAGGCCACCATTTCTGTTGAAATTTCTTTTAAGTGTCTGCTCTCAGGTACATTGGTCAAAGATCAACTTCCAGCCAAAAAAGCACCGAAATCACAAGCAGAATAGCTACTGACACGTTACGCAGGGTTACCCTTCTCCCCCCACATCGTCACAGGCACTGTCCATCATGGCACACCTGATGCCTGGGTACTGCATACGGCTCTTGCAGATACAGTTAAGCCTATCCCTAGGCATCGGGAAGTTCACAGCCAAACAAGCCTTTTTCTAAGCCTTGGCACCACATGCCAATAAAACACATCGGACTATGACAACTGTAACAAGGAATGAAGACTGCACACCTCTGAAGAGGTATAACAAAACCCAACGTACTCAGACCCAAGCATTGCTTAACTGATATAAAGATTTTAAACATATTTTTTTGTGAGAGTGTGTACACACTTTTTACTGATGGTTTGTATTGGTTTACAGACTCATTAGATCTAAAGAGGGGTGTCTCTTCTATTACGATGAAGTTGTATAAAATTAAAAACAAACAAGCAAAACACCCATGCCACCACACTAATTTCTGTGATCACTCTTTTGATGAGCAGGTCTCTGAGGACTCCCGTTTCAGCAGCAGAAGCTGACACCACCCTCTGCTGAAGCTGCGCAGAGGGATGAGTGTTCTAGAAGGAGCCTTACTAGACTCTCTTCTCTGCTGGAAAGCACAGCAGACTGCACATGACCTTATTGAGGTGTGAATGCAGATGTACGTGTTTTTCCTACTATTTATTTCACTGCCCTTTGAACTCTGTTTTCCCAGAACAGCCAGGTAGACCACGCTGGATAAGCCAAACTTCCATTCTCCACTCTCCCTTTTGTCAATCTTATTTTAAATAAATATAAAAATAACCCCAGAGTCAATATAACTATTGTATTTGTTTGTGGCATGGAAAAGACTATCTGAAATTTCTTTTGTCAGAAGGGAAGTATATTCATTCTCACAAATCCTTAAATGCACAAAAGATTACAAACACATTATCTTGGGTTAATGACATTTCCAATTTCTTTAATGCATCCTGAAAGTTTGATGGCAGTTAAATGCCTGATGTGTATGCACAGCAGCACTGTCAGCAAGAGGCATGTGGAAGGGTAAGGCAGCTCTAAACGAGCGAGTGTGGGTGCTGGCAGCCCAAACGCTGATTACAGCCATATTACTGAGCTGCTTTACCTAAACCTTTTAGCCAGAATTACACTGAAAGTAATATACAATTTTGTCTGGCTTCTGTTAAGTTTTGAATAATTATACTTCATTTAGAAGTCACAACCCCCCCCCCTTTGTTTCCATGGTCACACAGAAGTCTGATCAAAAAAGACAAAGTATTATTTTGTCAGGGATGGACTACAGCAAGTTTGTGCAATTCCTTCACAAATTCCTCAATGGTCTACATTAAAAATAAAAACAACAAAGAAAGAAAAGCTCTTGCAGCAAGTTGTTTTAGTAATAGTCTATAAATACTTCATACTAGACACCAGTTTAAAAGTAAAAAGAAAGTTTTAAAAATATGAATATCCCATATTACATGGCCAGACACTAGACACAATTGCAAGGCAGACGTACTTCACATCAACAGTGATGAGAAAGAGTTAAATTGAGCAAGTTCTAAACAGACTCTGAAATACTGTGCTGAATTGGGTCCTTACACACTTTACACTTTCTAGACACAAGAACAATTATCTTAATTGATAAATTTAGGAAGTGAAAGATATTTTACCTTTTAATATAATGACACTAAAAATGCTGAAATTAAAATTATTGAGAATAAGTCATTCATTTGAGAAAAATACACCTGTCCTACTTTCCTGAAGCTGCACATACACTACTCTAAAGGAAACCAAAATGTGAAAAGCTCACAACAGAACAAGAAACCCCATGAAATTTCGTAAAAAGCCAGGCCAGAGATCACACGTACTGTGCAGCAAGAACTGAAGTCTCACTTTTAAAACTTTTTCCTGCTTCCAAGCACAGACTATTCTGCCCCACACTGCATAAATGGTAACATCTACCGCCTAGCTCTGAGAAGGGACCTGTGTCTTACTCTGATGCAGCAGCTCTGAAGCTTTGAAATAGACTTTTCACTACTGTCCCAGCACATCCACATGCAGACCTTCAGTTATTTCTACGAAGCTGTGAGAACAGGCAGCATGGGAGCGATCAACTAGCAAAAGATGAGTTGCAGATATATTGATTTGACAAATCATTCATCTTAGGGCACGGAGTGACGTGCACTCCAGCTGCTGACGCTGACACACCAACCCTCCCCTGCCTCCAGACAAACCCTGAGTAACTCTGCCTGGCCGCCCGCGAGGAACAGCCTGCACCTGCACTGGGTTAGCAAACACGCTGACCAGAAGAGCATCGTCGGCTCCAAAGTTGGCAATTTCAACTTTGATTACTTTTTACTTATTATCTGCTGACCTTCTCAGAAGCTGATCTACACGCATCTTGGATAAAATTTAATGGATTTTGTTGGCTCTGACTTGAAAACTAGTAGTCACTTGAAGGAGGTGAGCTATAGGCAATATTAAGAAATAGATCCCCTTTGCATCTGTAATACAACAGGATTCAGCAAACTGACTTTTTAACATATTCAGGCTTCAGATTCCTTGGATGGTGCTACACAACTGTCCAAACAGGAAGATTTATTGACAGTCAACAATAAATAATAATTAAACTACCAGCACAGTAATGTTTTGCATAGTAAACAGCATATTAGTATGTTTCTGTAGACTGTCAGCAAGTATTCCTGCTCCTCCCTTCACCCCCAACTAAATGCATTTACTAGAATGTTTCCTAGTCTTCTGTAAAATATTGTGCAAAATAATCCAATTTTAATCAACCCTATTTAGCTCAATGTATCGTATTTGCTTTCACAACTCGGCCACTACAGTAACCCTGGTTTGATATCTGGCTTCTTGGTGAGCTTTACACAAGAAGATAAGTTGCCTCTGGTCATCCCACACAGGTGGATGGGAGCTGACCTTCTAGAGCCTCCTGTCATCATGGGCATTTTACTTTTGTTTCCCTCCGATTCTAATAAATTTGCACATTCTGCTCTGAATAAATCCTGTGCAAGTTTATGACATCTTCCATAACCAGAGTTCAAGACAAAGCTGCTTAGATTACCTAGAACCCAAAAATATAAAAAATTCTCTTTTTGAACGTTAATGTTGGCTTTTTTTCCCTCTATGACTGTTAAGCAACTGGACCATGTTCACACAAACTACTATCTTCATGTTTATCCTGTATGCCTTCGCTACAGTCTAGCAGACTCAAGCTTTGTCTACAACTGCATGCATATAAATCAACAATTTAAATAGAAATACCTAAAAATCACATTTACAACATGAATTATTTAATACTTTAAAAATTAAATTTGACTAGCTAAACTAAAAATCTAGCCTTCTACAATCTGTTGCCTTTACTCAAAATAGATATTTAAAGTGCAATGCATATATATTTTCTACCAACATTTTGAAATAAATTACTGGGATGGGAAAAAATCACTAGTTGGTTTAATCACTTAAAAAACACTCTCTGGTTTCAGAGCCTTTATCTGAACTACTGTTTTTTATGTGTGATATGTATACATATACATACACAACATGCCCATGCAAAACTGTTTTCCCATTTAGCTAGTTCATCAATTAGTTTATTTCAAAGTGACAAACAAATCAAAACACAAAGAGCAGAATTTACATGCCTCTCTAAAAGAGGAGTACTTGTGGGTTTTTTATGACAGGAAGATTTTTAATAGATTCCTTAGACTATAGGCAGAAAACTCAACAAAATTAAGCTTTAAGCCAAAACTCTTGCATCATGTAGACATTCTACCTTGCAAAAGAAAGCACGGCCTATTAAGATCATTGTGTGTACTATATAAGCTTTATTTGCCATAAAAGGTAAATGGCTGTTGCCAACCTGAAAACGATTTTTTTTCTCAAAATAAAAAACAGAAAAAGTCATTGTAAAAATTCTTACCTTCAAGAGGTCAATTTCTTTAATGCAATCTTGCCTAGCCTTGGCATCCATCATTTCAAAAATCTTCAGAGACAAAAACATAGAAGATGAAAATGAAACACCAACAACAACAATGAATTTTATATTTTAACAGGAAATTGGTCTTTCCTCTCCCAATTCGTATACCCTCTACTGTAATGAGTAGAGACACAATCCACAGATCAAAGAAGGTCAATTTTTTCTTTATTTTGAAACCACTAAAGGGCTAGTGATAGGGAAAAATTAATTTTAGAACCTGTAGGCAATATTCTAAGCAGCACGAAAAATAAAGATACTAGTTTGTGAATTTGCTGTCATGATTTTCAAAACATAGTTAGTTTAGTTATTATTAATTTCACATGGTAAATAAAAGATAAAATGTTTACTTTTTTCTTTTAAACAGAGATATAGCTTCCCCTGATTTCTCTGTAATAATTAACAGTAATATTGAGCATTAATATTCATTCTGTAATAATCAGAGGGTAAGTCACTAGAAACATGAGTTTAAAGGATCTGTTGAAGGATTAAAGACAAATTTCTTCAAACAAAATGCTGTTCTGAACACTGCACAATACTTTAAGCCAAGTTACAAGTCTATACTGCTTGCATGAAGGTTTTTCAGAAATTCTTCCAAAACTCCATCAGCAAGCACAGGCATTTTTCCCTTCTGTGCTCTTGTGTTCTCATGATTCATCTGTGTCAAGATGGCAGTCTCCTAGCTGTCTGACTATGGCTATTAGGGCCTTGTTCTTTCACACACATTTAATAATAATTTAGTGAACCCTTTTTATAATGTAAAAAGTGAAATTAAAAATAAAAGTGAAATTGCACTACTGCTACATAATTCCGAATTAGAAACATTATCCCTCGTCACCTTGGAGCAGGTTTAAGACGATGCAGTGCAAATAGACTGCTCAAAATGTAAACAGGGTCCCATATAGGATATACGGGCTATACGGAGAAGATAGCCACAGAGGATACAACCGAGGGGCAGGCAGGAGCACAGTGGGGACACTTGGCCTCTTATAACCATACGTAAACTGAGCATCATGAAACTAGCCTGACTTAATAAAAATTTGTAAAACTACTCTGAGACCTTCAGAAACATTATTCTTTATTCCTTATCTTGAAATAATAAAGTAAAAAAAAAAACCAACCCCAAACCCTCTAAAACCCTATTGAATAAAATAAGAAAGCAGAGTGTTTGTTGCTTTTTTAAAACGTAAAAATATCGAACCAGATCATCCAGTGCTCTCAAACCTTAAACAATCAATATATAAAGCATTTTATTGAATTATTACTGCTGACAAAAGAATACTGGAAGAGGTATCTGACTCAAAGTAATCTGTGTAGACACTTAAATCGTTTCCATTCTACTTGCTAAATATTAAGACTTTGAGCTTAAATGCTCACCTGAACTTTCTTTAATGCCACAGGTTTTCTGTCCAGAAGACAAGTTGCTTTGTAAACTTCGCTGAATTGTCCTCGTCCAATCTTTTTCTCTATCTGAAAATCTGCCAATGTGCAGCGATATGGGTACGACGTTAAATGTCTCTGTTCAGGTCAAAAGAAATTAAGTCAGTGAACTAGGAAAAGCAATGCAAAACCATGAACTTGCATTCCCAATCTGTCTTCTTTATGACTGCAAACTAGCGGTTTCTATGATTAATCATATTCAGGAGGATAAATTCCTCACAGTAAGGATTGCCCAGCAAGAATGACAAAGAAATGTGGTGTTGATTTGGCATACAATGGACAACACAGTGGTCTGGCTTTCCTTTTCCCACCTTCAATTTTCTTTGTCCACTTCAGACAATACTGCACCAGAGCAGTTGCAATATAAAAGCGAAGCATACAGCCGCAAGCACACACACACACGTAATGGCAGAGACTTGCATAAAAATATTACCCAAATCAAAGCATAAAACTAGTAACAGCTACCAAAAATGCACAGAACAGAGTTAAGATTGCCAATATGCACACCCTCTTGCTCTCATTTCTGATGGTCAAGAATTTAATCAAGGCTGATCAGTCTATAGGTAATTCTGACCATAAATGCATTAATTCCTAGTAAATTTATTAGTAACATAAGCTGAATTAAGTTAAATGACTTTTTTTAAAAGGAAATGAAGTCTTGCCTTCCATGTAAGTAACTAATTAGTCCCAAACTACTGTCTCCCTAGTAACAGACCCTCTCATCAACTTTGCCTGCTTGTGTCACTTGGGAGACGCTGATGCCTACTTCTGAGCAGTCTCAGGTAAACACCCAGCCAGGCAGGTAGACACAGCGTAACGAGGATTAAGTACTCCATGGACTAGGAATTGCTCCCTAGAGCCATTCTGGTCTCTTCTGTAATTAACATGACTGCTAACCAACGTTTAAAAAAGAAATTATGAAAATTAATTACTTAAAAGTTGCCACGCACGCCGAGTAGAGTATTTTTAAGCTTCAGCATCTTGAGCCATATCAGAGTTCCCATCGAAAACCACAAAAAGACAAGTACATAACGAAAGTTGGGGGGGAGGGCTTCCCAGGGACACAGCCATCGTTTGCAGCAGACGATCCAGCACAAGTGTCCAGAGAGAGCAGGCCAGGAGGGCTGGATGTTTTAAGGAGATGACTATTGCTACCACTGTCGTTTCCTAACACAGAGGGGTGGGGCTGGAAGTTAGATTTAAAATGCAGGTAAAGCTTTCAGTCCAGCATCTTTTGCCAGCACTACATACAAGACAGTGTGAGGACCTCTTACAGTGTGTATTTAATCGAGCACAAGTGTCCAGAGAGAGCAGGCCAGGAGGGCTGGATGTTTTAAGGAGATGACTATTGCTACCACTGTCGTTTCCTAACACAGAGGGGTGGGGCTGGAAGTTAGATTTAAAATGCAGGTAAAGCTTTCAGTCCAGCATCTTTTGCCAGCACTACATACAAGACAGTGTGAGGACCTCTTACAGTGTGTATTTATTTTGACAAGTAAATAAGTTTGGACTTCTTTCCTTTGCAACAGAAATAAAAATGACTATTCAACAAACAATAAAAAGTATCAAGCAGACATTTGAAAAAGCTGCCAGATATCAAGGTGTCTGTGCAACTCTGAACTACAGTCACAGTTATTTGGCAGAGGTTTTATAAACAAAGTTGTAAAATGCAATGTTTTTAAGAAAACTCGCCAATAAAGTCCCCTAAATAGTAATTTCTGACCCACAAACTGCATCAATCAACCAAGACAAGCTATTTTGAAAACTGTCACCTTTACAGCATCTTTATCACAACAAACGCAGGAGAAATCCCTACAACAAAGGCTACTCTACTGCAGGCATACTCAGGAAAAATGATTACGATTTATAAATGCTGATGATAGAGATGCAGATATAAATCACAAACCAGACAGTGAAAAGACTATCAGGTCTTTTTGCTGTCATCTTCCCCCTCATCTCTCTGGCAGTGAAAGGCTGTTTGTTGCTGGAGCTTGCCCTGCACTTCCACACCACTGCCCTATGTCAGCCATTGAGAACTTACCGAGCATAAAGCTCTGTAGTTATGAAAAGAGAGGACTGTTGCTAAACTGAAAAGCTTGAACGGTTATGAACTCCAGAGAAGACAAAAATGCAATACCATCATGTCCAGCCAATGCCTGCTAATTCAAGCAGGCACATAACTGGAAATTTAACTCTAGGCCATCATGATCATCAACTTTCTCAGTTTAAGTTCCCTAAAAGAGCAAACCCACTCCTTTTCAGATGAAACGACACTTCGAGTAATTATTTTTGAAATGCCAAGGCCACAGGTAAGTTTTTCCATCTATCACCACGAGCATTTAAATATTCTCATACTATGAGAAACGGTTTTCATTTCTCTAGGCTAAAGACGACACAATAAAAATTTTAATTCATGAACAATAACCTACACAAATAAGAAGGCTGCATTAGAATTTGCAGTTATTCATGAAGGCAAGTCACACAGAAATAGGAAGCTAATTTCATCAAGTATTTCCTTTAAACTGTTCAGGCAGTGTTTCCCTTTTAAGATCACTTTAGTCTCCCCATGCTCTGAAAGAAGCCCCATTACCCACCCTACTGCACAGCCACCGCTGGCTGCAAGCAAAGTTTGTGTTAGCAAGCAAAGGAAGGTTACTCTCAGTACGTGTGCTGTGCTTGAAGTTATACTGCATTTACAAGCTATAACACAGGAAAACAAAAATAAAAATTAAGATTCAGGATTCATTTCTCTAAGTTTTGCAGTGTACACTATACAATAAAACAGGAGGATCCTTTTACTGATGAGGAAAAAGGTAGCTTATAGGTCATCAGATAAACAGCAGAACGTTCAGATAACACTGCTTTATTATTTACATACATTACCCTTTAAGATACTAAACTATCAACAAAGTAAGGCAACATGGGATGAAACCAGACAAGCAAATATTCAAAGTAATCATCCCCTGCAGCTTTCTCAGATTAAATTGGTTGCAATCGCTCTTTGCAGGGATTTGATAAACAGTAATACTCATCGATATACATTACAGTAATACTCATCTCATTCCTGGGAGCGCTAACGAAACATTCGTTTATGTGTGGTTTTTGTGTGACGAAATCACCAGAAGAATGTCTGAACACAAGTATTTGTTCAACTTGACTGGTGACTAATCAGGAACATCTCCATTTCCTGACTTTTTTACATATGAGCTACTAAGCAAATTAATTGAGCTGTCCAGTCAAATCGCTTTACCCAGCCAAAACAAAGGTGTCAGTATATAAAGTTACAAAACACTTTTTCCTAATTAAAAAATAGAAAGGAATCAAAGCATTTCTTTAACCCTGAACATGTGCCTCCTGAGCCACACTCTTCTTGAGTAGTAAGAAAGTTTGAGCAAAAGCTTTTCTAACTTGGAGTTAACGTTCACAATAGAGGTAACAGTTTTAACAAGACTTTATGAAGCAACTACCATAAAACTTTCTTTTTAAGGAAGAAATCCATGCTGCAATCAAGGATGGTATCCATTTGCCCTTCATAAATCATTAAATTGTGTGTTTAAACCAAGAGTGTTTAAGTGTAAATTAGTATTTTAAGCATGTGCCAAGAAATATCTAGCAACTTCTCAACTTGAAAATACAAATAAACGTTAGGCAAGTGACAGGGTGTATGTGTGTGTCCTAACCACTTTCACATGGTTAGCACATAAAGTCTGCTTGCCATGCTGGAGTTAATGCTGGGTGATGACCAGACACCTTAGCTGATATGTTCTGGCATCCTCCAGGACTACAGCTGCACGTTTACATATGCAATGACCTAGATTTGCATTTGCTATCACAACCTATCAGACCTAATTAAAGTAATGGAGCTTTCATACAGGCTAGAAGATGTCTGATTACGGTATAAACCAGAGAGCATGCTCAGGTTAGACCAAACCATACCAGAAAGCTCCCTATTGATTGCAGCAGTCAGTTTTCCCATATGTGTTTAAAATTAACCTTTTATGCTTTACTGTACTTAAACGTAAGCAGGTAGAACTCTTCTAAATACTGTTACAAGGACACATTTAGAATACCCAAGAAATATCTACCTCCTCAGAATATCATGCCTATAGTCTGGCCTTACATGCATTTCACTTATTTCTTTACTTTTGACAAGGGGAACTTGTAAAGGGGAAATTGAAAATTTTTTTCAAGTCCTTCCATGTTTAACCACCACAATTTTTCATAAAGCTGTCAAAGAACCAATAGCTATTCATTCAAATAAAGCATTATCTTTATTTCTGCAAATCTCAGAGATTTCATATACAAATTGTGTGTAAAATTAGATACCACCATCATCTTCAAACCTGTTCATCAAAAACAGAGTTTCTCATTTTCAGGACAGATTCAGGCTCAGTGAAGGGTTCAGGTCTGCCTGAATACAGGAAAACCAAGCCACTGTCTCTCCAGAACAGGTTTCAAGGTCAATGATGGAGCTTAAAAAAAAAAAAAAAAAAGGGGGGGGGGGGG